ACATTTCAGTTGCTGTAGCTGTTTTGCTGCTCAGTACTTGTTTGTGTGTCGGTTTGCTTACTTGTTACATTTCCCATATAACTGTGGCTATACAGTAAGCTCAATGGGTTATATGTTTCGCTGGAATGAAGGAACTCTCTGCTTTTCAGGAAGTTCATAATTTGACCATAGATTCCTTGTTTTGAAGGCATTAGATTCTGCTCAGCTGTAACTGGTAGGTGCCTGTGTAGTAGAACTTTATTAATCTTTTTTTCACACTTTAATTTTCCTACATGTGCTGGTTATTGGTCTGACTCTGATCTACCTGAAGATGAATGAGAAGATCATTTTCTATGCATAGAGGGTAAATTTCAGGGTTGTGCTGTCTTCACCTTTTCAGCAGATGTTCCTAAGCTTCCTGCTTTTTGTGATTGTTACAAATGTCCACCAATAGCCTCAGACTCCTTTAACATCCCCAGGCCAGGCTACAATTGCTGACCCGAGACAGTCCAGACTCCAGTTTATGACCAGTCACAATCTAGATTCCAGTTACTCACCAGTCTCTGAACCAGCCACAGTTCACGTTTCAGCTTCTGACCAAACACAGTCCACACTCGAGCTAACATCCAGCCACTTCCCAGGCCCCAGCCAGTGCCTAGACTCTGAACCAGCTACTTCCCAGGCTCCAGCCAGTGTCCAGACTTTGAACCAGACACTGTCTAGGCTCCAGCCAGTGACTAGCCTCCGAAGCAGTCCAGACTCCAGCTGCTAACCAGCCACTGCCCAGGCTTCAGCAACTGATCAGCCTCCAATGTGGCCACAGTACAGATTCCAACTGATAATCAGCCACTTCCCAAGCTCCAGCCAGTGACCAGACTCTGAACCAGCCAATGCATAGGCTGCAGTTCCAAACCAACTATTGCCCGGGCTCCAGCCAGCGACCAGCCTCCAAAGCAGCTACAGTCCAGGCTCCAGCTGCTGACCAGTCACAGTCCAGGCTCCGGCCACTGACCAGTCACAGTCCATGCTGCAGCAGGTGACCAGCCAAAGTTCAGACTCCTGAAGGTAACCAGCCAAAGTTAAGGCTCCAGCAGGTAACCAGCTTCTGACCATCCAATGCACAGGTTCTGGTCGGTGACCAGCCTATAAATCAGTCAAGCTACCAAACCGCTTCAGTCTTGGCCAGCTATTGATCATTACCATAATCATTCCCATAAGTTCCAACCAGCTCACATGCCACCCTGTAGGGCTTCAGGTAAACCCCTTCTTGGTCAGAGGCTACTATTTCTGACCTTCTAAAAAATGTTGGTTGCATGGCTGTCGCTGGCTACAATGTTTTCAGTCCAACCTAGAACAAGCTTGCAGATCAAGAAAACCAGGTTGAAATCAGAGTTCCTGATATAAGTTGTTTCAAGTTAGTGACTCAGAAGGTACTGAAGGTAGTGGATCAGCATGACAGCCAGAGAACTGAAATCTCAGATCTCTCATCTTGCTCAGCTCAGTCAGGGTAGATGTCATCTTGCATCTCTGTGGCAAAAGGGCTACAAATCTGCCAACAGTCAAGTGGACTATTTCAAAGTGGGACAACTCCCAGTCAGCTGAATCTTACTGTTCAGACACCACAAAGGTCAACAGTCAATAGAATCTGCTTGAAGTTTCCTGGAAACTGCAGAATCGTATCACCAGCATGTTAAGCTCAGGCTGGGGAACTCATATTAAAGGCAAGTGACATAAGGACTATGGCCTAAGGACCAGGAAAGTCTTTCTTTTTGGTCCGGGGCCGGAGTTGCCCACCCCCGGACTAAAGGAATCAAAAAAGCCCTCCAAAAGAATCAGTGCATAAGTACATATAATGGTGATTGCCTGTGGTACACAGTGCTTATGCATACAACTCAGTTAGGATTTACATTTTCTTTAAAAAGAGATTCTATTCATTTTTTCCTTTGTAATAAAATATACAACTTAAAGTGACATTAAAGGCAGCCCCCCCCGATAGCTTCTTCTATCCACTTATTTTCCACAGTTCCTCCAGCGCTGGTGCCACTCTCTGATCCATTGCAGACTCCTCGTGTCCAACGGAGTCTGTCCGGCATGCGTACTCCCGCGCTACCTGGATGGGTTCATTCAGTGTCAGCGTTGCTCTCTTCCTCTCGCCCCCGAAGATCTGGACTGCGCATGCGCCTGCCCATACTTCCTCCAGGACTTCTGCAGCCGGGAGCGAGCGGCGCTGACACAGGTAATTTAGTTGGTATTTGCCAACATTTTTTTTTTATGTTGGGGCATATATCTACTGCTTACCAGTAGTAGATATATGCCAGAAAAGAAAACTAAGGCTACTTTAAGCTTAAATAATGAAAAAAATAAAGTCAAAGGGACCAAACCCATTTCACTGTCCCTTTAAATTCTGTGCGGAAAGCCACAGGAGCCTTGTAACAGATTTGATAATAACACTGTGTATGTCACATAATATATTTCCACTCCAAAAGCTTGGCAGGAGGAAGAGCGATGACAATGGAGCGGTGATGTGCATCCTGCATGTACAATTCTATTGCCGTATACATCCTTCCTGTGTCACGGCAGCTGGTCACGTATAGGACACAATAGTGCCGCTACATAACAACATCCCAGGCGGCCTTTGTGATATAAGAATAACAATAGGAGAAACAATCAGACCGTATTACCTGGCCTGTATTCCTGCTTTGAATAGCGCAGCCGAAAAAGAGCAATAAAGTGATTCTATGTTCCTAGTATTTGGTTTTCACATACAGTGGAGGAATGTAAAGCATGAAATATATTGAAATAAGGGCCAGGTAATAAATAGGGAAAACTCGGGTTTGCATGGGACCGGATTAGGTGGCGACTCATTACTGTCAATTCATAATGATTTAGCAAGTCACAACTGGATGCTGACTTCTCTATGGGCTCATTCACATGGATGCAAATAGAGGCGTATTTGCATACAGCGTACAGAATTGTATGGACAGACTACGCTCTATGTGGGTATACGCAAATACAGGGTCGTCCCTATAATGAGGCAAGCCTGAGGCGTTTGCTCCAGATGGCATCTCTTTGGGTCATGTGGAGGAGGGGGGGGGGGGTGGCAGATGTGCCTGCCACCTCCTTTGGCGTCAGAGTATCCCAGGTTGCTAAGAGCTCGCTAAGAGCATCCTGCCCAGTTCACTGATGTCACTGGTTGCTAGAAGCTGAGGGGGCCGCTCTCGCCTCAGGCAGCATCTCATTAGGTCACAAGGGGGGGTGGGGGTGTAAGGTTTGTCTACCGCCCCCTTTCTGGGCAGAGCATCCAAGGTTTCTAAGAGCTCTTAGGAACCTGTGACGCTCTGGTTGGCATTCTGCCCAGCTCACTGATGTCACTGGCTGCCAGGAGCTGAGCGGGATGCTCTGGCTAGTGTCCTGGCCAGCTCCAGGCAACCAGTGACGTCAGTGAGGTGGGTGGGATGCTGGACAGAGGCACCATGCACCCCCTTACCTG